GCGAGAAACAGGTGATTTGAATTTAGCTCAGAGGCGTCATTTAGGCTTGAGGAACTTTTACATGCAAGTAAATCTACGAACATGGGACAGCCGGCTTTACTTCCCCTCCGAAGGATTTTTTTTTGGCGTAGGGGCTAACGTTTCGACCCATTCCTCAGAGCTGTACTGCTCATCGGTATTACAGCTGTACAGCTCCAAGAAAGACCGCAGTATGTTGGCCGCAACGTCACCCACCACCACATGGACGTGGCTCGTCCCAGACAACCAAGATCGCATCTACATCGCACGCGTGGTTACCAGTCAGGCAAATACCTTGCAGCCAATACTACATAACGTCCCCATGACGTCTTCTTTAATGAGTAGAGAGCATGTGTCCCCCTGTAATTTGCCTTTTTAAGATTTAGATCTTAGGAAGAGGGGTTTTCAAGGAGGTTTCTTTTGGATCTCCTAACTTCGAGATTTAGAAATCGTTATCATCTCTACTCCTTTCTTACACATCACGTTAATCGTACACAGAAGTAAAGAGAGTTTTGAATTTTCCTTGCCAACAAACGCGAAAACTACTACTCTATATAAAAATGTACTTCCAATCGTTAAAGAAGTTCTTAAATATTAAAAGTATTCTTGTAGAGACTTCTTAATGAGCCAAAAAAGAAAACTTTAAAAATAGTACATGAAAATAAATAAATAATTCGAAAATCTGGTGTTTGTATTATGACGTATGTATAATGACGAGTTGCACGTGCAGCGACCTAGAGTTCCGAAAAGAGAGCCGAGAGATCTGACAGACATGTCGAAAGTGGATCCGACGGTGCATAAAATTCCTCGAGAGAACGTCCTGGCGACAATGAAAATTAGTTATTTATTTTATTTATTTATTTGGCTACAATTGGCTGATTGCCAGGTGGTAGCCATACCTCTATAGTTTTGCATTTTATGTACATTTAAAATCTAAAAACAATTTACAATACAATCCTTTCGAGGATATACACCTATTATATAAATATTCACAGACCTGTATACGTCTATATATGTATATATACTGTCATATATATGTATACTACTGTATATATATATATATGAGAGAGAGAGAGAGAGTGAGAGAGCGAGAGAGTGAGAGAGAGTGAGAGAGTGAGAGAGAGAGAGAAAAAAAAATATATGATCTAGATTCGTAGATGCCACACCGCGAAATTAAGATAACAACCAAGATAACTCCATAGGGATGATAGTTAATGATACTGAATTTCGTTAAATTTAGTAGAGATTGTGAGTCTATTTCGTTTCCTACGTGTATCATGTTCGCATGTTGAACTGATTTTCACCAGGAACGCAAACGCCATTATTTATTGTTTTCATTAGCGAGGAGACTGTGTCCTTAAACAATTAGTTGCTGGATTTGGTCCAGAATTATATTTTGCTCGTGAAAAGCATGTGCGACATTATATTACAGCTGCACGCCGTGAAACGAGAAGTGAGTATACAGGTATCGTAATCTGACACACAAAGGTATTATGTAAGCAAGTTTAAGAAAAGAAATTTGGAAACGCAAGGGTAGGATTTTCAGAAAATGTTAATCTCCCTTTACTTGTTGGCTTATATAAAAACAAAATAAAATTTTTCACATTCTCACTTAAATTCAATCAAATACAGTTTTGACAATTTTCATATATTATCATCTTAAGGCTACGAATCAAAATGTATTACAATAATCAATTAAAGAAAATATTACATTTCTTAAAAATGACATTTGAAATGCGTATGAAAAAATGGTTGAAGCGCATGTTTAGGTTTAATTGTCGCTTTATTATTGAAAATGCTTGTTAAGAGACAGTTGAAAGTAACAAAGATGTTTGCTATAAGAAAGAAACTTATGATTTTAAGGGTGAGGTTCAGTTTCTGTAATCGAGAACTTAAAAGAAATTGAAATGCAAATAAGAATAGTATTAATAGTCCTTTTGTATGAATTTTGTGTATATTATTTTCAGAATTGTATTGCATCAGACGAGTATTTATATGGGCACGATTTTGCTGTTGTGGCTGTTAAAAAAACATTTAAGCAGTCTAAAAATTTAATCTGTATACCTTAGTATTAAAAATAATGTCCGTACGATGCAATTTGTACTTTTTAAAGAATGTATGTAGAAATCTCAGGTTTATTATTAATGGAATAATGTGGATAGAACAATCGAAACCGTGAATTTAAAAAATCATTGTTTCGACTAATTAATAATTAGCGTTTTTCAAGAAATAAGTATCCCACAATATAATTGTATTTGTATATATTGTATAATAAAAAGGTTGATTTAAACAACATATCATTTTTTTCAATAAATCTTCCATCATCAAAAGCAAACTTCTTGAAGAATAAATAAAATATTGTAATTATCTTTCAGCATTGCCACCTCGAGAAAAAAACGTTGGCAAATATCACTATACTACTTCAAAAAATTAAATGTTGCTAACTTATGAATCTTAGTAAACATCTCCGCTCTTAAAGGATATTGATGTAGTCATTCCAAGCAATTGACGCTCTTTCACGCTAACCATGGACCTGATGTATATATATTCTCATGTAATGAGAGATAAATAGAATATTACGTTCTTGAATAAATATAATACATTTGAAATTTGTAATTTTTCAGCTGAATTAAAGTACCCTTGTCTAACATTTGCAGCTAAAATTCTTCTATACCATGGTGTAAGCGTACTTACATCATGCTTTATACTAATTTTTACGTCGTGAAGACACATTGGGCTCTTGTTTTGTTTTTCTTATGGAAGAAGCTCGTGCACTGTTGCAAAATCGAGTTGCAAAAGTCCGTAGAAAAAACAGTCTTGCAGAAGATGACTAGATGGTAATCATTAAAAATGTGACATTCATTTAATTTTTAAATAAAGTACTAAAAACGTTGGAACTGGCTTTTAAACCACCTTTTTATTTAGACCGTTAAAGCATATACGACTAGTGGTGCCACACAATCGCACGGACGCCACTTACTCTTGCCAGCTACCATATATCGCCGCCCAACCTACATTACTTTTAACTTTTCTTAATTTGTTGGTTTCCAAATAGTAGAACGTAAACATTTTTATAATATAAAAGAACAGTAAAACCGCGTGGTAAACGGCAATTTTCTTTGAAAAAATTGGAGCAGTTTATAAAAAATGGAAAGCGTAAGCGCTAGTGTAAATTTTTGAGTTTTTCGAAAACTTAATTTAGTCATTTAAAGTACTCAAACTCACAAATGCAGTAGTGTTTACAAATCGCAGAGAATGTGCATATTAATCGAAATGTATTAAGGTGACTAATTGTTTTACTATTAAAAGGACGAAAACATTTGAGAAAAAGTACGACATAAATAAATGAAACATTTTATTAATTCAAACAAAAATACACTAATTATGTCCGTGTACCAGCATCTAACTCTTTTAATTATTTAAATAAAAAATAATTTGTCCGCTTCTTTTCCTCATTTTCCATCGCTTTCTCCGCTGTTCGCGAAACTACTTTTTTTTTGCGGTCCAAGATGAAAATCTTTGGAATCTCGCCGATCTGACAACCTAATCGTGTCTTTCCTAACTATACTGTCACACGGACGTGTAACAGTTGGGCGCAGTATCTCTGAATACAAAGATTAACAGATTAGTGTTAAAATGTCGAAAAGGAGGGCAGGTAGGAGGCCCTTTTCGAAGAAGGACAGGACCTATAAAGGAGCTATATTTTACGGAGCAATTCTCATCTGTGGAGAATCAGGGATACCACTCGCAACTTCCTCATTTATTTGCGTTTCAACTTTCTCAGGAGTACGAGGTTTCTCCTGTGATGGATCTTAACCTCCTTCGGTGATTTCTTTAGATTTTTTGGAGACAATCACGGACAGAAGTTCTCGTCTTCAACACAAAATGGATCACACAGAAAATAATACAATTATTAAAAGTAGTAAAAACATTTTCAAAATTCATCAGACATTCCTTCTTTAGAATGAAAACGGGAAATGAGAATGGAGAAATACCGACCCCTAGGAAAATAAAGTTAACTGGACTGACGTGTATAAAATCAGTAGGGAAAAGAAGAACGACGATTCTTTACATACGGTGCGTCTCAATTTCCATGCGCTGTTATTTTTAAATGTTGCAACAATCATGTGTTTAATGAAAGATGTTAATGATAAACATTTACCAAATTTCAAATATTCTACATTTTATTGAATATAGATAGAAATGGGATTTTAATTTGAAAGGCGAGAGAAAACAGAATTGATGAACTGAAATGGACATAATAATGTGCCGATATTCATTCACGAGAAATGCGACAGTTTAGAAATGTTAAAAGGAACATAGTGATAGTTGAGTAAATGTTGGTCATAGTGTTTCATTTATTGCGTAAAATAATTAATCAATATTTGACGGCACAGTCAATAATTTACGATTTTTGTTTCATTTTAAAAGAGAATACATGTAAAGAGTCAGTGTATTAAATATTTACGGTAATAAAATATTACGGCTACAATAATAAATATAATAATAATGTGCATGAATAAACTTGTTTTCAACACATACGTACATTCAAAAAGGTAGCCGTGATTTTGATGAATTTGAAGGGAACGGGCAAGCCACCGTGTCGCGAAGGCAACAACGCACAGATTCTCCTTAAGACCCATGTTCTTCAACTTGAAAAGCAGTATAGATCCTAAACAGCTCTCGATTTTATACATCATATTCTAAAACCTAGGTTTACAGAAAACAAAAAGCCCTAGTCATCACGTACGGGGAATTTATATCTGCAATTTGTTGTCGTTTCACGAATTCTCTTGGAATATTACTCATTATCTCCATTCCGTCGAAATATCAGATATAACGCAGATTTACTAATACACGAACGCGATAGGCGACACCGTTTGCTTGCAAATCAATATATGTTGAAAACAAGAAATTTGCTTGAATTTAAATTTTTTAAACATTCCTACATAAAATATAAGTGACTTTGGTTTTGTACTTACTGTCTTCACGTATACTATCCATAAGACGGATGGCGACCTCTTTCTTCTGAATAAAATCAGGTGAGGCTAAAAGAAACTTCCATTGCGCCAAAATTAATTTCGGGTTCTTTTCTAACCCATCCTCTTCTAAATTTTCTACGGGCATAATGTGTAGGAACGCACGGTTGGATACAGAGTTATAAAGGAGAACTTCAACTACTTCTCAAATGCGTTCACGTGCTCACGTTTCTTCTCAAATGCTCTCTAGTTTTCTGTTCCGTGGCACCACAATAAGCGTTGTAACGCATGCGCGACGTAGGTCTGAACCAACAGCTCAGAAAAAGGTGATTACCCCGCAAACGTGTAAAGTCCTAGATGGTCATGCAGAAAGAGCACAATTTTTTAACTGAAGACTAACGAGCGTGCGATCTATAGATTTCTATTGTTCTACCTCTTTGTAAAAGACGCAGTGAAATCGAATTCTCATTGACACACAGGCAGACGGCACTAACTCTTTGCATTCTTTAATTAAATGCTGCCCTCTTTCTCCGAAGTCTGATTAAGAATTTTTAACGACTGTTGATTTATTATATGGAGGATGAAAGTATAATTCAGACACGTCATTTGAATCAAAGACATTGTAGACCAAAACATAGCGCTGGTTTTGCAAATTAATTCGTGCCGAATTGGGGACGGATTTCATTCTCAATTTGGGTGTGTTTTGTCCTAGAAAGTTTCTGTAAGAGAAGTAAAATGAAGGAAGTGAAATTGTACATGCGGCATACATATTTCAAATTGTGTGACTTTAGACTGCACATTATCATTTTCCAAGATCATATGTGATGTACTCAATTGAATGTGTTAGTTACGTTTTACTATTATATTCGTGAATAACAATGAAATCAATGCATTTTAATTATTAAAATAGTACACGTGGTGTGTTTTGAATACTTCCCCTCAATGCCACCTGAATCATCGTCTTTGAATTGTCCCCTTTAACAAGGATTAGGGTTTCCATATTTCCATTATGGAAAAAGAGAGCCCTTATAAATTTGTTTGTATATTTTTTTAAGACAAAATATATACCTCAATCATTGTCATCACTTTCAAAATCACACGTTAAGCCTACTTTATCATTCAATACTGTATTTTCCACTTTTACCCCAGAAGTATTTGGTGGATGGTGAAATCTCCCTCAACAATTAGAACATTGCTTTCCTTCGCTTTGAATTTTTTTCAGTATATCGTTATACAAGGTTTTTCTTTTTTGAATTCTTTTCGAAATATAAAAATCCCGTAACTGTAGCGTATTAATTTTTCAGCCCAATAGAACAGTATTAACACAACACAGAATCTATTACCAACACCAACATACATTATATTTCGATTTATTTACAGTGTCCTTTGACAGATCAGCTGTTACGGTGTCATCCAATCAGGAGCTTTAAACGTTACTATAGTTACTATACTACATCGCAATAACTGAAAAACTGTCAAAGGAAACTGTAAATAATATCGAAGTATATCTTGTACACTGTATTGTACCAGTTGACAGCAACACTCGCAATTCATGGAGTAAATGTAAGTGTAAATATATTATCTGTGGATTCTGGCTGTTAGGGGAGAAAGTTCAAGTGAAATGTCATTTATTTATACAGTGAAATATGATGTCGGAGACTGAAAAGTTGAAAAAAGCACAGTATTGTTCGTATATCATACGTCTAGGTTGCATTTAAAAGAAATACCCCCTTTCCAATACAAAAAAGGACATTTCGTTCTCCGGACAGATTTACTTACTTGAAAAAGACGTCATGTCCGGGGAAAAAGTGGACGTGTGGTAACCCTAACAAGGATGACATCCATGTAAAGAGAGTTGTATTTGCTAAGAAAAGCCGATATCCATATTTTTTTTTTGCTTTCTATCATGCTGTTACAAGTGCTCAAAAGTACGTGAGCGATGGACTTGAAACACGATAGTGGCACCGTTCTTGCCGCATGGCTGAACCATTTTATGACTAGTGGAATGGCAGATATCTTGCACACATCGCTTCCTAATTTGTTTCGTCCAGAAGTGTAACGAAACCTTATTAATATTGTACTCACAGAATAGTAGCTTGAAATGATACTGACGCTGTTAACTGCAGATATAATCTTTGCTATTAACTAGTTTATACTAATTGAGCTATGACATACCACATGAGTTTCCAGATATAAGATTGGTAAAGCGCCTGAGTACTGGTTATCCAAGACCATAAGGAACAATTTTCTTAGTGTTTTAATTTTAGTTTTATGACAGATGGTAGAAACCTACTGAGAGGTATTTATAAAGGCTTCTTCCTCGTTCCGCTTTGGAGAACTCTGTTACTCATAACTGCAAAATTGCATAAAAATGCTAATTGCCAAAAAACAACAGTAAGAATTGCGATTTACGAGATTTTGAATTGGTTTCGTAACAATGAAACAGTAAATAGAGAAAAAAATATTTCAACGCATATTAACATTTCACACAGACGATTGCGCCATTGAAATGAACAATACGCAATACTTCTGGGCAATACCTTCTATTGCAGAAGCAACAACGAAATAACTAGAGAAACGCCCCTCGCGCAGACGAAATGTCATGGCTAATGTATGCATAACTGGAGTAGTGCTGTCTTCACTTGCTGGGAAGAGACGCCCCCCCCCCCCTAAAGGAGTAAGTTTGAGGAATCCGGCAGCTCTTAGCTCTCGGCCTTCAGCGGATACCAATAGGGAGTTTTAGCGTCAGGCGTAAGGAGATCCCCTTAAACTCTATTGATCACGTGACTAAGGTCTTCATACGGTCGTAATGCACAACGTTCAGAAGAGTTTTAGCAATTGCGACATTGCGTTATGCATTATAACAAAGGAAGCATTTCAAGTGTTGAACAGAGAAATTGTGTAATACATCAAAGTGTAGGCTAGTGGTGAGACATTTAAAACACATTACGAGTCAACAGAACAGCAAATATACATTGTGCATAGAGTTTTAGATTTTGAATCTGCTTTTCTTGAAAATGTAGGAAATACCTAAAAACAGCGTTCGTTATGAGCATAAGACATAACTTATCCCGAAGATATAATTTAAACTTCTTTTTCGCGAATTTCTTTCCTGTCACCTCTCCAACAGATGCCGTTAATTTTTTCCAGCGTTGTGGAGTTCGTAAGGAATAATTGTAACTGCCTTACATATGAGAATCGGTTTATTAGAATTGAAAAAAAACACAACTTTTCCTGTTTTTAGGCGGCCATTTTGCCGCTTGTAAAGTGACCGCAGAGACTTCCACAGGTGTGCACTATTTATGAAGGCATAAGGTCGTACATTAGGCGTAAGGTAAGACGTTATGACTTCAAGGTCCGTCACGTGACTTAGTGCGTAACGCCGCTACCTTACGCGTGGCGCTAAAACTCCCTAATGCCTTTCAAACAATACTATAGATTTCGTAATCAACTGAGTATTTCGATCGGAAATAGGAATCTCTCCAACAAATAATAGAATAGTATAGGGTAGAAAGGAATGTACACGATATCGGCATCTTTTACATTCCATAACAAACGAACTAATGATTTTGAAAGGCAGAAAAGCCCACCGACAACTCCAGAGACGAGGATGCGTCTGACGTCCTCCGATGAATCTTCAGTCATGAGATTCTGCCTCTGATGAATCATTAGTAACACATGTAAGTTTACAAAATCCTAATTTTGAATGTCCTGATAACGCTCGAAGTCAGCTTATTTTGCTTTACATTGACCCGTTATCGAAGGTCGTCAATCTTAACTTCCTAAACACCGGGTATCACGCATCAACTTATCATGTGGCAGATACAAATAGAACTGCGCGTCCTTGGAATTTTCATTTACAGTTCTTTTCCTTTTTGTGTAACAGACATTCAGTTGATAATCACTTGAACCGAAGACTATTCGCATTACGCCAGCTGTTCTTTTAGGCTTTCACATGTTATTCCCATACATTTTAGGGAGATGGCGTTGACCTTCTGTCACTAACTCCGCTTTGACTTCAATGGAATGAATAATATATTTGAAGACATTGTCCTAAATAATGATAACTCACAAAATGAGGATTTCTCTTTTTTTGTGCTGACAAAAATATTCAACTAGACATTTCTTCTTGTCCACGTACATTGTAAGAGATAGAAGTACAATACATTTTTAATTCTAACATACCACATGTCTGTGTAGTAAAAAATCAACTTGATTTCCTAGATGGGGGCACATAGATTCGGAATTGTGGGTTATTATTTACTACCGACGTCTTATGATTATGAAGTGCGGTTTCTCCGTTAGCCCCTCAGTGATGTCAGGTTTTCACAGTTTCACATCACGTTTTTATAGATGGGGCCCTGACACATGAATAGGGTTGCCACCTTGCCAATTCCAGAAAAACCGAGAGAAACCGCTGCGCCGGGGGGGGTAATTACTGAAAATTCGACTCTTTCAAAATGAAGATATCGAATAGCATCCCGGGGGATTATTCTTGAAAACTGTTGGGCCGATGCGATTCTCGCATAATCGCTAGATGTCTGATATGCGTGAAAAGAAAGAGACATGGCGATAACACGAGAATCGCAAGACAATTTTCATTTCTGCTCTTTTATTCTTTCTAATGAAGAAGGAAAGGACAGATTTTTGATGAAATAGAAAAAACTTTAAATTTTAAGTTCAAAAATCTATTTTATTTGTAAAAAATTTGAAAATGTATTGAAAATGAAAAAAAAAACGAAGATAATTTTTCAAAAACCGGAGACGGAGATTGAAGCTCCAAAACCGCGAGTCTCCGGTTCAAAACGGAGAGGTGGCAACCCTACACATGAATGATCTTCCAGTTTGACTATCGGAATAACTGAACTACTTTCAGGAAGTAGCACGAATAGACACTGATTAGCTAGTTCTCGAACAGTCCAGACCTCCGAGAGAACCACGAACAGTGTACGACGTAAGCTCTAATCAGAGTTTAGTGACTAACGCTATGTTTCCTAACGGCTACCCCAGCATGGGGCATCAAAATGCTACTTTGTGAACAATTCAAAAACAGATGATATGGATTCTACTTTATGTGATCACGATAGTGTACAACAATATGAGCTTCAAGAAACACAGTTCCATCAAGTACAGTAGTTATCAACAAAA